CCTTGAAAACTGCAAGGACTCAGCCAAGCAGTCACTGCAGAGTCGGTAACGGCTGAGCGCAGATTAAAAAAAAAAAAAAATGCAATCATTAACGGCTGATAACAGCTGGCACAAGGTGGTTGGTTTTATCATGGTTTCAGCATTGTTTATTGTTTTTATTGCACTGTGTTTTTATTTCGTTTGCTGCCCAGAGTTACTTCTGGTAGATGGGCAGCTATGTAAGTTTGTTTAATAAATAAATAAATACATTTATAAATTGGGATGAAAGAGAATAATAAATTCTGCTTAGGAGGGAGGGAGGGAGGACGGACAGCTCGTGATTGGGAAAAGAATAGCACTAAGTTTCATGCATCAAGCAGGGTGGGGATATCACACAATTCTGTGCCTTAACCTTCTCCCCCTTCTAAGATGAGACATAGTGATTTACTACTAGTGCTTTGCTAATAAGGTGGAATGCAGAGCAGTTGGCTTTTCCTGGTCAGCCATTAGAACCCTGACTAGGAGAGGATGTCAGCTTGTACAGTAATCTTTCAGAAGTTATTACAGCTCAAACTTGGAGCAGTCTTTGAAATGATCTGTTAATCTTTCCCTCTTCCCTGCATCCAGATTATTTTGCAGACCACATGGGGGATTATGAAGATGTTCTGGCATCATTGGAAACACTCAACCTCTCCATTCTGAAGGCCATGGACTATACAAAACGGGTGAGTTGTCAATAAACAGTTACCACAGTTTCTCCAAAGCTGATATCTTGAAACTTGTGTCCAATAGAGCAGTGATACCTTTTTTTAGAACAGAAACTCAAAATAGCATTACAGTATGCTAACCATGCAATTAATCAGAGTTGTGCACCAACACAATGAGAAGATGTAGCCCTCTGATTAATAACTCTCCACAAACAAATAAATTAGCCCCTTATAAAATACCACAATTAAGTGCATGGAGTTTGACTGCAATTCTAGGTTGTTATAGGGAGGAAACTGCATTGGACTTCAACTTGTAAAATGGGTTAAGCTTTAGCAAAGTTACATTTTTCTTTCATTCAACATGCAAATTTCACATGCAGAAAAGAAGGGTTAGATCTTGCACTGCCATCTGAAGTCGGATTTCAGGATGGAAAGGTCAAAATGAAACTGGGTTAATTTTCTCCAGTCCTGTTTGATTTTTCTCTGTACTGATCTGTCCCAAATAATAATAATATTTACTATGTGACAAGAATGCACTAAAGTCCAGGCTAACAAACAAAGCAGATTTTCTTCTGATGTGTCGGGATACATGTGGTTTTAGGGTTAAAATAGTGAAAGGGGAAGGCTGGTAAAATCAGATTTTATATGGAAACTTGCTCTAAGATGGTATAGTAGTAGTATACTGTTAAATAGTAACAATGATTGAAAATGTAAAATTTCTGTTTTGGACGATATTGTAAGCATACAAGTTTCTTGCATGCAGAGCAAGATCGTAACAAAGGCAAATTATGATCTTTGGCTATTCACTTCTGAAAAATAGTTTCTGAATTATGCAGAGCAGCTGTCCTTAATTTTGGGCAATGCATTGCTTTCCTCTTTTGTCTTGGAAGGAAGGAAGGAAGGAAGGAAGGAAGGAAGGAAGGAAGGAAGGAAGGAAGGAAGGAAGGAAAATGTGGATATTTTTCAGTACAGTTCTGTTTCTTTTCCCCTCCACTAAAGCTAATCCACTAGAAAGAAATCCTCTCTGAGACACTGCTTACAAATTTTCTACTTTAAATGCTAATGCCGGTGCAATGTTCCAAAAATGGCCGATTACTTTCGTTTTATTAAAATCTTTCCTGCAATCTTGTTTTACGGGTGAAGGGCTTGTACAACTATTTTTAATTGGTGTTTATCCTTTGTGTCCCGAAAAGACGGCTGATAGTTTGTTTCTTTTAAGGAGACATGTGGCAATTATTTTCTGTGGGGGAAGTTCGTAAACGATCCTCCGTAATTAGCGCAAAAGGAGATAAGCTAAACAAAGTGTGGCACTCTAATTACTTTCTTATTTAGTCAAATGTGATGCTGCGATATCCAGCTGGTAGGGAAAATCAAAACTATGGAAAAAACCCATATTTACCTTGTAAAGAGGCTTCATTTTAGAAATGATTTCTTTTCCTGCTAATCGTTTAACACCAAAGATCAATACTCTTGAGGGTTGGGTAGATTTCTCATTCTGCAAAGTGTGAAACAGGAGTGAGAAACGGTACGAGAAGAAAACCAGAGGCATGAGAGAAGAAAACAGAGCTAAACCTAGCTTACACTCACCCAGTTCATTCAACCCCCTTTATCTTTTTATCCCTACAAACCATCCTTGCTCCCTTACACCAGTGTTTCTCAACCCCCACCAAACAGATGCACCTTTGTATTCCCCACCCTCCCCACCACCCCCCCCCTTCCAGG